TTTCACTTTTTCCTCTTTCCTTCTCAGACGCCTCAATTTGTGCGGGCTGATTGCATTTAGGAGTTGCATGGCGGTTGGTAACTGCATTAACCTCGGGAGTCACATCAGACAGAGACTATTTAAAAATGCACCCCTATAGCGCCAGTTGTATTGTGGGTAATGCCTCTAGGAGGCGTAACCAATCACATCGGAATGAGACGAAGAGCTCATCATTTATTGGTCACACACTCTTTTCAGCATCGCTCCACTACCTATTTCCAATACTGCCTACTTCTGTCCCTATTCCCCTCTTTTCCAATTTCCTTATGTTTGCCTTTTTTTCTCATTTTATTTTATTTTTCTTTAACAAAAAAACAAAAAAAAACAAAAACAAAAACAAAAAAAACACACCATATATCAAAAATTTTACTTCCTCAAAACTGCTTGCTGCATAATGTATTTTTTTCTGATGTTACACATCTCAAGATGGACATGTTCTTCTTTTCTCTCATTTAGAGGAGGCGAATAACCGAAAGCCATTTGTTCATGAACTTACCATGGCTTTGATTATCCATCTTTTTTACTCTGTTACTAGTCCTGGCTTCTGCCAAACATGGAGGCTAGAATCTGTATATGTGCCAGCACAATGACTCCTGTGTGTTCTATGGCAGTGAGGGTATATGGAGAGCAGCGTGTCTCAGCGAGGGCTTGTTGTTGGACAAGCTCGCACACAGGCTGGTGCGTAGGATAAGGACAACCGTGACGGCCATGTCAGGCTGTTGTCCTTTTCTTCTGCAATCTGATGTGTAGGAGGAAGTCAAACAGGCACAAGCACACACACATAGAAATATAGAAAAAAATCACACCCAAGTGAAACAGACTGAGCTTAGTCAGCCTCCAACTTAAGAGAACGGAGGTGTACAGAGGGAAATGCCAGGTAATCTTTGACTTTAAAAAGCTTCACATCACTCGGGTTAAATGCACGCCTTATGTGATATTTGACAATGACAGTGGAGCATGCATAAACAACAACAACAACAACAATTATTACAGTAAAAGCACATGATTAAAAAACAGAAAAAAGGGAAAAATGGTTATGCATTTATGCGACATATCCCTCCATTGTGATGACCATAGCAAATTGTGGTTCACTCAACCCAGTTTGCTAATCTAGTAAAGCAGTGTGAATCATAATTATTGCTCTGTCAAAGAGTCATGTGGAGCTTTACATCTGCTGCTGTCCAGACTTCCCATCAGAGCTGCCCACTGAAAGCTGAAGGTTTAAAGCAGCAGGCGAGCATTCAACACATAACAACGTGAGCAGCGCTCCTGTTTAACTGATGAGAGAAACTAAATCATTTACCTCATCACAGATGTGGGAGAACCTGCAGCAACTGTGAAGTGCATGCAGACAGCTGTGATTAAGCTTCTGTAATAAACCCTTAAGTGTTTAGATGTACTTAAGTTTAACACTCTGGCTAAGACAGACTAAGGTAAAAACAGAGAAGCATGGTAGATTAAAATCATAAGCAACATGCTTGAATGGAAAAACAGAGATGGTGTTTCAGTCATGACTCTAGCAAATTCATATTGGTGACACAAAGGAGCAAATACTCAAATCATAACAGTAAACTACTAAATTTGATTTCACTAACAGAATTCTAAAACATTCCACACACATTTTCATCCCTGCAACAAAAGGAAAATCTACAATTTTAACACAGTTGGGTAGCTGCGATGAGTGTGCCACCAATTCATTAAATAACCAAATGTAAAACAAGATCAAAATCCACTTCTGCTTGTGTGTTTAACAAAGGCAAGAAAAGATTTTTAGGGTGTTTTCACACTTTAACCTCTTGGTTTCGTATCCTTTGACACTAAGACAAATCCAAGTGAACAAATGTCTCACAGAAGTACACTCGGTCTGCTTACTGGCCTGAAGTGTCTCAGAAATAAGCAACATAAGTAAATACAGGAAGACTGTTTTTGATTAGTGGATAAACAGAAAATTATTTATTAAATTAAAAAATATATATTTTTATGCTACAGTTTGTGTACATCTATAGAACTTCTCCAACAGTCAGATTGCTTTATGTTCAAGGATGCAGCAGTTATTTACTTCAAATATGTAATGTACGCCCGAGCTGGGTTAGATCGAGATGATGTAAGCGAACCCTTTTGGAGCTCAACTGGAACCAGACTGAGAGCACCTCCTCCAAAGGGCCATGATGCGGTTGTGCTGGTACCATTTTTCGCAAAAGAGCAAAATGAATCTGACTTCTAAATAGCAAAGGTGTAAAAGAACATTATGCTGTCAAAGTGTCCAAATGCACAGAGGAAAATAATAAAATGTCAAATCTAACCTTTTCTCCTACATACTAAGGATCTTCCCGCGGTTTGGAGCCATTCCATAATTTAGTGGATATAATCCAGAATGTGTGCAGTGGTGGCTAATTATCATTTGCACAGGTGAAATATTGGTCTTTTGGGACCAAGCAGAGAAACCTTTTCAGTTGATTAATGGCTTTACCTTCATGGAGGATAAAAAAAGTCAAACTTTCTATCTACCCCCTCCCTAAAAAAAAGAAACAACCCCTTTCAGATAAAAAGAGAAGCAGGTATCACATTTCAAGTAGTCAATAACACACAGTTGTTGTATCCATCTGATAGACAATACAAGATGTTAAACAAAAGGTCACAGTATTGTGCAGAATAATGTGCAGGTTCAGGACTGAAACTACTTCCCTTTAGGCAGCAGGTGTTAAGTTCCACATTAAAACCCTTCCCTGCTCTTTGTACAGGAAGATGACAGTAGATGAAACATATCACCTTGAGTAAGACTTAATACAGTAGTACTCAGGGCACAGATTACTGTGCAGCCTTCTTCCCCTACAATTAACCCAGCCACCCCACTGCCAGACACTCACACAGGCATATCCCTTCTGTCTCCCTTTCTATCTCACTTCCTACATGCCTATATGTCTTTCATAATACTCCCTTGCTTACGATCATCCTTTGACACTACCCTTGAAACACAATTCCTCAAAGGCACCATTAGCAAAGGTTTTTTTTAAATACATCAGAGGGAGATCAAATTAGAGAAAGGGGCCGGGGTTGATGATGAATAGGAACAGACTGTGACAGTATGAAAGCCAGAAGAGAAATAGGAGGGTGGCAGGAGGGAGAACAAGGTACTGTTTGCTCACAGCGGTCCAGGGAGGCAAACAGCTGCCAGGGGAATACACAGGGACTCAAAAGCACAGTAAAGGAAAGGAAGAAAAATGGAGACCCTGCTGCGTACCTCTGACCCTAGAAACTGGGTTAAGAGGTTAGAGACACAGAAAGAGGCTCAGATAACAGTCCCTCAACACCTCCGCTCACATACTCTGTCTAGCTCTCTCTCACACACTGATCTATAAATACTATGTGCTATCAGCACTGCTGTTTCACAGTGCCCTGCAACTGAGCCCTGCCCCACATTCAGATCATACTGCTCATGCTAGAAAATACAAACCACTGAAGTCCTAATAATAACGTATTTGGTGAAAAAGAAAGCTAAACTAACCATTGATCTTCTAGGCAAACAATGTCTTTGCAATGGTGACTCAAAAAGTATGCAAATATTTGCATTTCTCAGCTCGCAGTGATACTGTGCTTTCATCCCATCGGAATCTGCTTTGACCTTAAAAGGAAGGCCAGTCGCGAGAGAAATAAAGGCATGAAGTTATGGGGGGAATGGAGTGACAGCTGTGTCTTCAGTACTGCCTTTTGGGTAGATGTGTGTATGACTCCGGAAAATAAGGAGCGGAAGAGGGGAAACTACTGACTGCTACAGTCTCACATTCTGCCAGTACACTGAAAGAGCCCACGGCAATAGATAAATGGGTGGTGTGGGAATACCTGTGTGGATGCATCTTGGTTTTCCCCCTGTTCAAAACAGGTGGGAAATGCATGACAATGTAGTGGAGGGGAAAGTCTTTCAATGCATGTTTCAGTGTGCGCAGGTGCTTTTTTTTTTACAATTATAATTATCCTAACAGTCACTGATCAAACTGTTATATCATTACGCCATAATGGATGTTTTTTTTTTAGCTAATTTGATTTAATAAATTAAAGTTTTCACATTTCTGCTAGCAGCTATCATAAGCAGTAGAATATACAGTAATGTGAAAAAGTCTTAATGTGAAAAAGCCACTCCACATGTCTTTATATTTGGGTCCCAAGGTAACACACTTTCTTGTATTTTTTTTAGTGCTCTTGAGCAAAAGCTCTCCAGCCTTTTCACCAATTTTCCATCCAGTTCTTGTACCTGATCTTTTTCACGGGAATGCTTTTTTTTTTTTTGTTAAGCCACTAAAAACTGACCTATGAATCATTCAAGCATTAAAAAGGCACCTAACACAAAGGATGAAATCATCCATCATGTTCATCGATGGGCTAGCCTCCCTAGAGCACTACATTACTGAAGCAGTTCGAGATCATCTTGACAGGAAATGGAAACAGAAGGCAGCCAAAGAAGAGCTTTGAATGTCTCAAGAATGCCTTGAGAACTATTGTTGAAGATTATTTAAAGAAATTAGAAGAAAGGCTGTGTTGAAGAATAAAGTTCATACAAAATGCTGACTTTCAAGATGTTATGTGTACATGTTTCAAATCGCTGCACGTAGTTCCCATCCTAGCAAAATATTAAGAAATGAGGGGTGACTCAAGACTTCTGCACAGTACTGTATATCTGTGAAGTGGCACATAAACTGCACTGCTGCAAAGGTTAGATTAGTGCTAATGAACCTCTGTTTGAAAGGTGCAAAGCAAACCTCCTCTGCCTAAGCTGAATGCTAATTCAGCATAAAATCTTCCAGTTATGTTTCTGTATGCGTATCACAGATGTCACATTAGCTGCATGCTCATGCTCAGCTACACAGTTTTAGTACCTGTGGTACCGAGATGTGGTTTGACTGCGTGTGTGTGTGTGTGTGCATAAGCTTGTTTCTGTGTGTACACGTGCGCTCTTAGAGACTCACCAGTGAGGTTGGTGCGTGCACTGTAGGATCCCAGGTACCGCCCGTCTGTATTAGGTGTGTAACACTCAAACAGACCTTGGTCCTTGGCCTGCACTTTGGTGATGTGCAGCACAGCGGAGTCACTGCTCAGCTTCTCCACAAAGATCTCCCCACTAGTCACCCTCTGGGAATATACGGCATAGGCATAGTTTTTCGTAGCTGTGCTCACAATGCGAATCTCCCGGTCTGGTACTGAAGGGAGGTACATGGACCACTCGAAGTTCTGCTCCGTCCCCTCTTTGTAGCCCGTCACGTTGCACCAGATGGTCACGTGTGAGCCTTCAGTCCGTACGAGCGGCCCACTCTGCACCGTTACCACTCGCTGAGCCACAGCGACACCGGCTAAAAATGGAGAGGTAGTGGGAGCAAGGGAGGAGTGGACAGGGTGAAGGCAGGGAGAGAGGAAAGAGAGAGCATAGGTTACAAAACTGCACTTTAAATATTTAGCATTAAGAGAGTTTATGCCCCCCACATCTCCCAGGAATACAGAAACAGTGTGACATGTGCAACTAAGCATTCACCGGTGTGCTTACCAAGGTCGAGGTGTGCACACAGACTCACCCGAACGAGTTCTGAACACCAGTAACCACTTAGAAAAACGAAAAAGAAAAATCACAGTAACTCACAGCTATGATCTAATCACGCTCACGGCAATCACACACACTCGCATGTTAACCCTTCCCCACAAGGACAGCACCGCAGCTGTACTACACTGTGGTGAGAAGCAGCCATTTGGGAGTCAGGACAGAGGTCAGCATGAGCTGGTAAAATGCGTGTCAAGCTGTACAGACTACAGCTGTGGTTGAAACGGATAATAAACACTGGTTGGCCTGATGCATCCCTAATCTTTAGTCCACATCACGAGTAGAGGTGTGAGCAGACAAAGGATTAGAATCAAACCCATAAATCAGCTGGGTTTATATGATCAAACAAATTTATTATGAACAACATATTGGTATCCAATATGTTGTTCATAATAAATATAGCCTCATACAGTGGTTGCAAGAAATTTTAAGACAGGAATGCCAAATAAACTATTTAGAAAAGAGTTGTTGTTATATTTAGTAGTTCTTCCACCAGAAAGCACCAGTAGAAATAAAGCTGAAACAGTAATTCTCACTCACTAGGGGGCGGGGATTATAACTTGGTGTTTTATGTTTATGTACAATGCTGCTCAAGTCTTTAAACTCTCTGTGAGTAACTAAGCATTTTATATCCTGCAAAATATATATGTGGCCATTAACACTTTCACTGACATTAATTACGTTTCATAAAGTGTATATTAATCACGCACATTAACATTGAAATGTCTGAGGTCAAATCATACAGATTTATCCGGTACCAACATTGTTCACCATGTTATTCTACTAGCCTGTCATTTGCTAAGAAGGTAGCTTTAAAACATCTCCCTCCTGGCTACACACTGCTCTCATTTAAAACAAAAATAATTAGTGAACTAAACCATCACAGGGGACTGCAACAAACTGCGAGCAAACCAAGCCCTTGTCAAGACCGATTATTATCACTCTTTGTAGCCTATATTTAGGCGTTCAGCATATGTGAAGTTTGCCTTAACTCCTTATACACCCACACGCACACACACACACACACAAAACCACACATATCAAACACACACACAGAGAACATTCGCCATTCAGGGAACAACTACAAACATCCCTCTCATTGGGGCCAGAGACAACAGAGCATTTACACATACCCCCAAATCCAGACAGAGTGACAAGTACGCTGTTTCCTGTCTGCACAAGCAACTGGGGATTGCAGCTGTGTTTTCGTGTGTGGGTGCATGTGTGTGTGTGTGTGCATGTAAGAAAGAAAGTCTGTAAGAGGCTGTGTCTGTAGGCACAATGCTCAGCATTAATAATTCACTAGAACAGCTTTTTAACTTTAACATCCTCACTCTTACCATAGTAACTTTCTCTCACACTTGCACTACACCCGCCCTTTCATTCACTGTTAGCGCAAGTCCATTAACACCCATGTTTGCCTATCCAAGTGATCCACTGTGCACGCCTCGCGACAAAAAGGTCAATCTTGTAGAAAAACAAAGGCCCTTTTGCAAATCGTGCTCGCAGAGTCTGCGAAACGTAGATGAACGGGAGGAAAAGTTACGATGATTTTGCTGTAGGAGAATACTTTCAATAGAGTCGGAGCAAGCATCGTTATCTCGATGAGGGGCTCGTGTGTTGTTTTGTTTTCCTTGCCTCCTGAGATTCCTGAACACGTTCCACAAATGAACAAGTTTTACAAATCTATTATTGTGAGTCCCTCCCTTTAGTACTCTATGAAATCAGTTAGATTGAAGTAAAAAACTGTTTAAAATAATCATTCCTCAAGGCAAGGATTTCAAAATTGTACACCCTCATAGTTATGAAAGCAGCCACTGTAGATAGGTTGACCTTTTCTTCAAAGACAAATGAAAAACAAAAACGCAAAAATAACTCAAGTTAAATTGTTCAAACAGCACAATTATGTTGTGATATTATTGCTTTACTATAGAAACAAGATAAAAGTTCGGAATCTCATTGTAGCTTCCGGTAAGGTCACCAAGCCTTGCTACGTTCCTGTGCGAATATTATAGGAATACTATACAAGACTTAAAATGACAAACTAGTGTTCCAATTCCACTCTTAATAATGCTGCACTCGTAAGCAGTGTGTGTGGGGCTCATAATCATATTGACATTTTGAATGCGGTCTTGAGTCACTTTTCATAACGCATCGACAATGCTTTATTTACACATTCAATCAATAACACACAACCCATTTAGGCAAGTCATCTTTTGTTTGAACTTGGAAATGGAAAGGAATTCAAAAAAATAAAAAGTCACTAAGCAAAATATTTATCCCCGGATTTCTGTGGAGCCCCCCTGGGGGTCATGTGGTAGAGGAAAAATAATTAGATGAGAATCCACAGAAATGGATTAATAAACCGCGCACACCAGTCAGAGAGGGAATTCAACATGTTTTCATTTATTATTTATTATATTTTCGTTAATAAACTTGCATACTTGTTTATCCAATTTGTATGCAATCTGTGCCGTCAGCTTTTCTCTGCTAATCTGCCAGCTTTGCACATCTTTTTGGACCTGCACATACTGCTGTACCACACTGCAATGAATCATAACCTGTTAAAAATTTGGCAACTGACTTTTACTTGATATAAAAAATGTTTCTACAGAGAAAAAGCATTAAGCACTCAAGACTTAAAACAAGACAGAACGTCTACAATGAAATGTGCTGACAAAATCTGGCTGACCACAGCATGGAATGTAGTATGTAAGAGCAGGAGCCATCAGTAATGACTCAGACCCTGGTTCCCCCAGTGTTTCTTTGCTGTGATGTCAGTGTGCTAATCTGGCAGCACCCGGTCTACCCAAATCCAAGTCTGTACTGCTGCATTAGTGCTCCTCACACTGCAGCTTCTCACCTAGAACTGCTGGAAACATATTACTCATACATCCAGAAAAAGAACGAGGGAAAAAAAAAACCCATACGACTCATACTGTGTTGGTGCACTAAGAGCTTTCCTCCACTTGTCTCCTGTCATCCTCATGAAACAAGCTTCTCCTCATTTCTGATTACTCTCACTCCCTTCCTCCGTGTTTCACCAATCATCAATCCTCCCCTTCGTCCTGCCCCTGCAGTCTCTCTTTCTCTGGATATTCCTGTCTCTTTTCTGTGCCTCACGCTTCTCTGCATCTTTTCAAGCAGGATTTAAGCAGCTCTGTGAAACTTCAAAGTGCCCATCGCTCTGCAGGCTGTTTAGAAAGGATGACAATGACAAACCAAACCCTGCAGACCTTCAACTGATCGCTCTATTCCACCACCTTTCCACAGTAATCCTGAGCGCCCCCCTCCCCCCCATCGCCCAACTTTTTCACCTCTGGCTGCGCTGCCTTGATCTCCAAGTGTCCATATTTGTTCAACAAGGCCTCAGATATGCTATTATTAACGCTCGTCTCCACCTCTGCATACCGCAGATGTCCTGCTTTGCTACCTTTTTCCTTCTCTGGTATTCCTTTCCTGTATCTCATACCTCATCATAGCTGGCCCATTGCTTCCCACACAACTTTGGTCCAAGCAAAAACATGTGTCCCATGTCAGGTGATGAAGAATGACCACAAGCTAGCTGACCTTCCTGTTGATCGGTTGGAGGATATAGCAAATGGGAGCAAATGATTGCAAATGCACAGACACACACACACACACACACACACACACACACACACACACACACACACACACAGACACACCTGGTACACTGAGCAGAAACACTAAGCCACACACACAAAACAGAGAGAGAGGGAGAGAGAGAGAGAGAGAAAGCTGTAAAGAGGATTAAGCTAAGAAGAAGGGGGGGTTAAACACTAATCCAATCATTCGTGGCCAGTGTCTTATTCTCAGCGGAAACAGCAGTGAGGCCACTCGCATTCATTCATACCTACACCTCACATCATCACTCTTCTATGACACATGATAATTATACACCTTGAAAGGTGTATAATAAAAAACACTGTAGGGCGTAAGTAATATAGAGGGCATTTTCACAGCGGTGCAAACACATGCTAATGTAGAGAACAGAGCTGTCCATCAATGATTCTCACTTTGCTTCAATTTTTAATTACATTCCCACACATGTAAATACAGATTATATTCTATATGTGCACACAGGGACACCCGTAAAAAGTTTAAGCAACCTAACGAGGATCAGACTAACGTAGTTCCTTCATCACAACCGCAGTCAGGCTGTACAATACCCACACAGTATAAATACAGTTTAAAAATGATGTATATTATTATCACTTCCACTGTACTTTACGTATATATCAAAAAGAAAAATCTTGGTGTATTTTACTGTATATAATAACCATCTGCATCTCTAATTCACCTGTTCTTCCCTTTTGCTGCTGTAACAAGTGAATTTCCCCAGTGTGGGACTGAATAAAGTATGTCTCTGTTTATGATATAAAGGTGATGCGTCAGCCTTGCTTTACTAAAATAATATATGAGTTTAAATTACTGTGAATTCATAACACTTGACTGCTCTAATACAAAAAAAGTAGATTAGACTCCTTTTAAATGCATTTATTCAATTGCCTTATTCTGAGTGAATAGATACTATCAGATTTTCTCAGCGAGAATAAAAGCTCTGGCTTTTTCACATCAGAGGTTTTTATATTTCAGTGTTTGTTTTGTTAAGAGTTTTACTTCTTTCGCTTGAAGCAGGCTGTTTCTAAAGTGGAAAAAGGTGGTCACAACTCCAAACATCCATCCATCCATCCATTTTCTTAACCTGTTATCCAATTCTATGTCGCATAGGGG